GAAAAATAAAGGCCGATTGTTACCTTGTCGGTAAAATAGTGAGATATACTATAAAAAAATATAAATTACAAACATCAGCTTAGTCGGTAATTTACTGACGTGAAAAGTGCCCTGCAATACTATTCCGGCAAGATAGTTACAGACAACACTCTTGTCGGTAATTGATTTTATTTTATCGACGTAAAAAGCGCTCTTACAGTGCTATTCTGGTTAGAGGGTTAAAGACATGCTTTTAGTGGGTAATTTTTAGCCATTTACCGACGTGACTTAAAGCCACATCGGTAAATGAATTACCGAGCCCACTTTCACTGACAAAGTCATCTCCGACATAATCTAAGTTGGAACCCTGTTTTACCGACCTGATTACCTTTATTTCCGACATGATTTCTCGTCGGTGAAATTATGAATTCTAGTAGTGATTTATGTTTTCATGTGTGATAATTGTATGTGGTCAGCATAGATGGTCGAAAACTGCAAGCTTGCAGATGTTTCTGAATAAATGTATTGTCTGAATTAATTGGGGATGCTAGAAAACAGGGTTTCACTTTTTAGTGCAAACTGTACATTACTGGAAGTCTGGAAGTTGTCCAAAGTCTTGAGGACAAAGCACGCAGGTGTTTTGGTTGCTACCGCTTCAATAGTACTGCGCGTAAGACCGTGTGCGTTTTCTTTCCATATGTCCCACTTTGGAATTGGAGAAGTATGAATGTTGAGGATCAAAACAACAATAAACCGCAAGATGTGTCATATTTTCCTCAGAAATAAAAATAATAGATATAGGAGGGTATCTTGCAGTTTATCCTGCAAAAACTTCAAACAACTTAATTTTACGTTTAATGGAGTTTGTCACTTTTCTTAGAAGGACTCTACTGATCACAAAGTGAGGTGTGTTTGTAGTTAAAAAAAAACTGAATTATAGAACATGTTGGTATGTGTAATGCATAGCATTTACAACGGGGTTATTTTATTTTATTTTTTTTTAAACAGGTTGACAAGGGGTTGGGTCGAATTCCAGCTCAAGGGGAGGAGGTAGTGTACCGTGAGGTGGCTATTACCACTTGGCCCGAAAAGCTCGGTGCCATTTACAACGCTTAGTTTAAATATTAGTTACTTCAAAATAAGAATTGAAGGAAATTAAGATGGATAAGTATTTAAAATGTCATAAAATAATGTAAAATAGTAATAAAAGGATTTAAACACTTTTGATAAATTTAAAAAAATTCAAAATATTTGAATAATTCTACCAGTAATTCTATAACATGTCAAGTGCTTTTGAAGTTAAAACGTTTTAATTTTTCTTTTCCTTTTTCTTGATACATTGAAAAAGTTACATGTTTTGTATATATAAATTACGTGCTTCTCAGGTGGCACGGAGCCACGCACTCTTCTTTTCCTAACTTTCCAAGCTCTCTCAGGGCCACGCTTTCCTTTCTCTGTTTTCTTTGCTTTTTCTTTCCTCACCGACATCAGCTGCACCTTCGCCTCTTCAGCATCCGGTCCATTTCCCGGCCGGACCAACCCTATCTTCTGTCAAAACAACAACAGTCATGAATACTGAATAGTAAGTATTCCAATTAGATTTCTGAATTCTACGCCTTTCCCCATTGTTATTGCGTCTTGAGATCTGGGATGATTTTGTGCTGTGGTGAAGAGGGTTTTGTCAAAGGATGTTTATTTCCATGAATCTTTCATGGGTTTCTGTTGAATTGTGGTGGGTGTGTTTTTAAGATCTTCAATTGCTGCGTTTAATTAGTGAATTATAGTTTACTTTCTTTTATGATGTTTGTTGGGAAGTTAAAGTGAGCAGTGAGGCCTTTAGATCTTTGGTGTTTCTAGGTTGTCTGTTACTCATGGGTTGTATGGCTAATTTTGTTGTTTGGTGATTGAATTATTGGGTGATCAGAAACTAGACTACTGCAATTGAAGACAATGTAGGCTAGGGTTTTCTTTGTTTGAATTCGTTTCAGTCTGTAACATGAGGGGCAATTTATGGTGAATTTGAGTTTCTAAGAAGGGTATGACTTTAACTTGGTCTAAACTCTAGAATATGTGTTAGCTGATTAATTTTATTGGAGAGACAATGATAGTTTAAATCTTTATAGGAAGTTTGTTTGGTTTTTGTTATTTTGTTGAAATGTGATCCTTATTTTGTATCTTTTTCCCCTTTTTTTGTAGTGACTATTTGTTCAAACTTTTGCTAATTGGAGACTCTGGAGTTGGCAAATCATGTCTTCTTCTGAGATTTGCTGTAAGTTTCAAGCAGCGTCAATTACCTATATTATTTTCTGCTTCTCTTTTAACAAAGAATTCTTCTATCTAACAACAATCAAGACAGTCAATCTGTCAATGGTCAAATGAAACATGTGAATTATGCATGAAATTTGCTAGTTACTACATGTCATTGAATGTCATTGTCGCATTCAATACCAAGCCTGCAATCTGACTACCTTTCTGTTGCTTGATGATGCAGGATGATTCATATCTGGACAGTTATATTAGTACAATTGGTGTGGACTTTGTGAGCATTTTCAAACCCTCTTATCCATAGGTTAAAGAAAATGCTATTGGGTTTTGAATATGAACTTACTCTTTGGATTCTGTTCTACAGAAAATACGCACTGTTGAGCAGGATGGGAAGACTATAAAACTTCAAATTGTGAGTACGCTTTATCTCTCTTATCTGTTTGATTGCGATTGAGATAGTGTTGATGAAAGATAACCTTGATTTGATCTTTTTTAAGTCTTGTGGAGTTGTCCTATTTTTTTTTTGTTTTTCTTGGATTCATCTTCACAATTTTAATATTTGATTATGTGTGCTTGTATTAATAAATATTCTTGGATTCTTCCTTACCTTGATGGGAAAAATCTTGCTATGATTATACCTTATGATTTTTAGGTGTAGATTGTGGATTAATCCTTGCTGTGAATTCACTATTAAAATTTCTTCAGTTCTTCTGTTTGTGTGTGATAATCAGTTCTTTTGTTTCTTTCTCTAAAAACATGCAGTGGGACACTGCAGGGCAAGAACGGTTCAGAACCATCACTAGTAGTTACTACCGAGGAGCGCATGGCATTATAGTCAGCTCTCTCTATTTCTCTCCTTATTTCCCCAGTTTATCTCTTCACAATATTTTTCATTTCCATAACATTTCTACTTGTTTCTTGCTGTTTTTTTCCTTCTTGCAGATTGTTTATGATGTGACTGACCAAGAGAGCTTCAACAATGTTAAACAATGGCTGAATGAAATTGATCGTTATGCAAGTGAGAATGTGAACAAGCTTCTGGTTGGAAACAAGAGTGACCTTACTGCTAACAAAGTTGTGTCTTATGAAACAGCTAAGGTAAAAGGGCGTAAAAGCTATTCTAGTACTTTCTGATGAAAACTGTTGAAGTACTTTGTTGCTGAAGAATCTGTAAAAACTAAAATAAACATGACCCTTTGTTCTGTCAAAAGGCATTTGCGGATGAAATTGGCATTCCCTTCATGGAGACCAGTGCAAAGAATGCCACTAATGTTGAGGAGGCTTTCATGGCAATGGCAGCAGACATTAAGAATCGGTATTTCTTTTGAATTTGATTACTCCATTGCGATCTTTTATGTATATTTTTATTGTGTAATTGTAGTAGCCATGTCATGTAATATTATTGGGGACAGTTGTTAGTATGATGATTATGATTTTATTAATGCAGGATGGCAAGTCAGCCTGCAAATGATGCAAGGCCACCAACAGTGCAGATACGGGGACAGCCTGTTAACAAGAACTCTGGCTGCTGCTCTTCTTAGTCGATTTTATCCATCTTCCTCGGCATGCAAGCATGTTGGAATAGCGCTTGCGCTGATCTAGGAAAATTATTTCTTCACAATCCATAATATCATTCGCTTGGCCAGTTCTTCCTAGGTTGTTCAGAAATTTATTTCATTTTCAGTTCACCACATTATATAATGGTCTGTACAACTGTTCTTATGTTGCTTGATAGTTGTTCTATTTTACTTAGTATTTGTTAAATCATATGGTTTGAAAGCCACAAGACACTTTTTTTCACATAAAATTGAAATTATAGTTAATATTTATTTACGAGTTGCCTGATATTGCAGTTATTTATTGACATCTTATGATTGTAAGTATTATGAGAGTAAATTATGAGTTAATACTGAAATGCTAAGGAAGGCCAAAAAAGGGAAAAAAAAAATAAAGTTGTTTGGCAGAACGGTTTGGAATTAGTGGTTGGCGATTTTGTTTAATTTGACAAATAATAATTGTTATTATTAATAATTTAAATCCTCTCATTTAGTCTTTACCAACAATTTATTGATACGTGTAGAAGTAGATTGATTCTTTTTAAATGAGATCTCGAGTTTGAATTATACTTATATAGAAATGAGTATTGAAAGAATTTTTTTTTATAAGGTTTGACGTGAATTAATTCTGAATTGATTATCAGATATTAAGAAGTTAATAAAAAAAAAAAAACACTTTTATTCTTTATCAAGGGTCAAGTGGTGGATCTCAGTATTAGAAATTCTTTCTTTCGATAAATAGGTTATACAATGTGCAATGGTGGAGGATAGACTGCAGTTTAGTTTTTTTGAAATGAGTGCTAAGTGCTAGCTGTTAGGTTGCAGTGCCAGTCCGGGTGGTATGTGTATGACCCGACCCATATAATCTTGATCGGAGTAAACGTAACCCAAACCCGATCAGCTCATTTGCGACCCATGTATATATGCAACCACCCGCATAAGATCCGACCACTTCCAAAAAAAAAAAAAAAACGTCCTCGACAACAGTGTATTACAATTAGGCATTACCCAAAGAGCTATCCAGTAGCTCTTCGTTCTCCTCATCAAAAAGGTTTCCGATTCCAAAGCTTCAAAGCTCTCCAGCGATCGTTTTACAAATCGGCGAGCAAACTCTGACCAAGGTCACTTCGGTCTTCGTCCCTGAATTGTTTCAGCTTCATACTTCAATTTCTTCTTTCTGTCATTTTCTTATTTTCACTCAATTTTCTGTCAATTCGATTTTCCCTTTCTAGGTTTTTGTATGTTTTCATGAATCCTTCTATCACCTGCCTCGAATCCGCATTCAGTTCTTGTTTACAATTTCTAGAATTTACTTTCCGAGAAAACATCAAGGCTCGTTTCTTTAATTCTGTCTTCTTTCGCCTTACTGTTTTGAGTATTAGTCAAATGCGAATCGTCT